CCACCATTAAAGGATGTCGAGGCCGTACTTCTCTTCATCATCCATGCCTTTCATGAATTCGTAACTTAAGTACATTTGCAGCTCCGAAACATCGCTTTGTGTTCTCCTAGATGATGATTCACTACCTGAAAACGTAGACATCATGTTAGCATCTTGTGCAAATAAACCTTTGGCCCTTTTACTTACATTTTTGGATGATTGAGAACAAGCAAATCGAGTCACAGTTCCATATTTAGATTCATAAACTCTATATAAGGAAAAAAATTGATTGGTCACATTAGTTTTATAAGATTTAACATCATCTTCGAAATTCATGCATTGAAAATAAATATCAATTAATAAAAATGTGCCATCATACTTTTGCCTTGGATCTAATATAGAAGCAAAAATATAAATCATAGGAAGATTAGTGTAATATTTACGCCATTTTTCCTCCGTAGATGGAAGATATCCATCATAATCGTGTTGTGATTGGTGCTCAGCGAAAAGTTGTGCAAGTAAACATGCATTGCTAAGAAAAGAATGAGCACAAGGATTATAAACAGAAGAAAAACATTGTGTCACACTATATAATAATTGTAAAAACTCCATATATTTTTCACAATTAGACCAATCATCCAACCAATCCTAAACCGCAGGTAAAACGGACCATTGATGAATATACACTGTTAGGAATGACTTATAATGAAGCTTTTGACTACCTCCATGGCCAAGGTTACATTCATCCCATTGGTCCAATCTAAGATCCAGCACCTGAGAGACGGTCCCCTAATTGGGATCCAAAATCCTATTGCAAATACCATCTACGGTCACACTACAAAGAAATGCTTCACCTTCAAGGATCGCATCCAAAACTTCATTGATTCAAATTGCCTTCATGTTCCTCTGAGCAACAAGAAGGCCAAAAGATGATAAGCATAAAGCACGAGGCGGGATTCAACGACAGGATTTCATAATTCTTTTCTTATTTTTGATTTTCCTTTCCCGTAATAAGTCTAGCATAGGCACCCTCTATCGTTTACTTCATGAGTATTGTTTTTACCCTTTCCATTTCAATAAAATGAGCATTTATTTCTTTGCATATGATTATTGCACTACATTAAAAAAAATAAAAATAAAAAAAAATAAAAAAAATCCACGCTGAACTAAACACAAGGTATACCAGTGATTTAAGGCACCCCTTGTAGCCACATCATATCACCTTAACCCCTTTTACAATCCTTTCTTGATAAACTATTTTAAGCCTCGTCTAACGATTGAATTTTCTTTTTTCAACCAACATCACCTAACCTTGGGATGGGATGGTGTGCAATTTATGCAAAGCCAAGTACAAAAGCTTGAGTTATTTTCCTAAAATTTCAAAAGATCAAAAAGCAATAAAAGTGTACAAAAGGGCAAGTGTTCCAATGTCTTTGATATGAACATGTCTCAAATTGTGTCTCTTATCGAGTGCTCGGCACCGTGCTTAAGAAACATGAATGTCAAGTGAATGATAGACCGCATGATCGAGATTGCCAACACTTACCCACAGAAGATTCAAATACTAAAACAAAAAGGAACAAGGTCAAAAGTGAGTAACCTCAAGCATACAAATACAAAGATTCAAATGGGTTTCACACCTTGGGGGCTTATTTTGGGTCTTGAACCTTTATCCCTTCATCTTTAATCTTTAGCCTAACACCATTACAACCCTTGAAAGACCTCTATGAGGTGTATACACACTTGTTCGAGGTTTGTCTAGAGCTACGTTCGGCCTGATTCATAGCGGATACGTAGGCAACCTCACATTGGGGTGCGGCCGTAATAAAAATGCATTCACTCATATTCACATTCATGCATGATCATATCAAGGGATCGCCAATGCTCATCCCTATCCATTTAGAGCTAGACATGGGGGATTGATCCCTACTTCATTAGCCTACCTAGCCTAAGAGTCAACATCATTTGACTCTTCTCAAAAGATTTTTCCACACCTTTAGCTTTTCCAGCCTAACCTTAGTGTCACTCTCACACACATCACAAATACATAGCCAAATAATCTTTCCCTTAGGAACCCTTTGTCATGAAATCTTGATACAACTTTGAAGCGCACCTTGTCATCTTCGAATCGCTCATTATCATAATCATCATTGCCTCACAAAGAAAATATGAAGTACTTAGCCTCCGAGCCTAAGTTAACCAAATACTTTCATTATCGGATCATCAGTTGAGATAGTCTAGAACGTTACAATTCTTACACTATGAAATACAAGGATTAATACATAAACTTGATTAACCTCATTCAACATGCATCATTACTTGATTTATTCCTTTCATCTCCTTTTTCCTAAAATTCTTGCACTTTACTTCTTTTCAGATCTTTCTTTTCGCGAGAAAGTCGGTACCCTCCACAAAAATGATGGAAAATTTTCGCTTTTTTGCATTTTCGAGTCGCACGAGCACAATCAAAATGCACATTGAGATGAGTCTATGCACACGAGTCATGCACATTGAGTCATGTTGTGTCACCACATTGAGTTGATTTTACATACAACAGTCGTACGCCTAAGATACACATCAAGTCATATCACTGCACGTTGAGTTGAGTTTCACACATCAAGTTATAACACATCGAACTGATTTGAGTACATTGAATTACACAATGAGTCGAGTAACACCAAGCCTTGAGTCAACCTCAAGCTAACCAACCACAATGAGTCAAGTACACCAAGTCTTGGGTCAACCCCAAGAAAACCAGCAGCAAAGTCGTTTTGTAATATTTGATTTTATAGGAAAAATATGTTGTATTCCTATGGGGTCTTGTTTGACCCGTCTCAATTTTTATTTTCATGATATTAAATTTTTATAATTTTTACGTATTTATAATTAGAGATATAAATAATTTTCCTCAAAAAATAATTATTACTCCGTAATAATCTAATATCATATTACTAATAAATAAAGCCGGTCTCGTAGCCATGCCACGAGAGAGCGACACTTGACATTCCAGTTTTTTGCCAAGTTTGCGCCACGTAGGCGACAAACAGGTATTATTGTGACACATATGATACTAAGTTAACGAATTTTGGATAGTTTTGTTAAGATAAAAATATTGTATAGAGTTTTAATACCATTGTATTTCTAATATTTCATATACACAAAATTAATTCTAACTTTTAATAAATATCCCTTAACTCGGTTCTATTTCCATCATAAAATCCGTTTCAAAAAGTTCTTAAAATAAGATCCATTTATAATATATTTAATTTAGTTAAAATAAAATAGAAAATCAGTAAATAAAAAATGTTTAATCAGTAAAAATAATTTTGGTTTGATAAAAATATTTTCAGTTTAGTAAAATTAATTTAAGTTCAATAGCAATAATTTCAAGTCAATAATAACATAGATATCTATTTACAAACAAAACTACAAAAAGTACATTATTATATAAATAAGCAATAGGATATCGTATGTCTAAATATCCTGCATTATCAAAAGGGATTACATGACCGTATTAATAAACATTCAAGCTAAAAAGTTTATTCTAATTAAAATTTAATCAACAATCCGGGCATTGCCAGAGCACAAAACCAATATATATATAAAAGGAAGTTTTTTCCCGAGTTTTTAGAGAGACACGTAGGATTAAATTTTCTTAACGCGCCACATAGGATTATAAATTTTAGTTATAGTCAATCAAATAAGAGAATTGTAAATTCTGTTAGAATTAAATAATTCAAATGCCAAATAAGCAAAATTAGCGAATGAGATTTTATAGTTTAAATTAATTAAATATATCATATTATCGTTTGAGATTAGGAATTTTATCTAAATATAAAACGAATGAGAGGAAATTTACAATTTATATTAAAATAAAAATATTAAATGATATACTACGCACAACAAATAAAATAACGAATTTAATCATATAAATACAAATAATATTCGTTTCAAAAAATACAAATAAACTGTACATTCATCTAGTTAGAAATGTGTATAAATGAAATTATGCATTGACAAATGTAAAATTATGCGTTAAAAATCATGTATTGCAACTAATACAAAAGATGAATTTTTCGATATCCTCAAGAGATTAACTTCATACATATCATGGGATAAGAGATTATTATACTCATAATATCACCACATTAATTTAGATAGAAATTAAGAATATGTTACAAAATATAATAATTGTGTATGCTCATTATAGCTTGTAACTCCCTCAATAATATGACTACCTTTGTAACTGCCTTGTAACCCCCATATGTCATTAGTTCACGTTGTAACCCCTATATGAATGGACTCTTTATTGTCCATATAGGTTACATTGTTCACATTGTGTATATATATAGATGGTCTAATGAAATGGATGAAGACAATAACAAGGATTTACCATTTACATCTATCTATTATATTCTCCCTTTCCCCTTATTTTTATAACACGTTATCAGCACTATACTCTAATCAAAGCTATTACATTGGTCAGACCGGTCATACTCCGTAAGTATACTAGCTACCAAAGACTAAAGTCAATGTTACGAGCCTCTCTTTTATTCAAAGCATTAGTGTAGTATTGATTGGATATTGTGGTTTGCTTCTGACATGTATCGTATGATGCTAGATTGCTAGGGATTGTTTTAAATCATGATGTCATTATCTTTGATAAAGTTTTTAGATTATTAGCTTTAAATATGTCAGTAGTGAAGTGTTTACTTCTTGTTTTACCACCATATAGGAATTAACGACTATTTTTCATGACTTTGGGTGTCTAAGTATTTAATATTCGATTCATGACTATTTTCTTTTCTAATGATTCGGATTATATGATTTTAGTGTTATATAGTTTGACGACTATTTTGCTTAAACTACTAAAATGTCTTGTAAATTTGTTAAGAATGGTTTAATTCATGATAGCCCCTTCATATGTAATTAAATCATTAACAGTAGTATTATTGTTTTCCAAATAGTATATGTTTATTGGATGCTGTTTAATCTTGTCTTGTTATTTTGTATAGAAAATAATGTCAAACCTTGCCAAGCTTGAATTTATAGCCCTTGATATTGCCGGAAAGAATTATTTATCATGGGTGTTAGATGCTGAAATACACCTAGATGCTAAAGGGCTTGGTGAAACAATCAAAGAGCCTAATAAGGCAACATCTCAAGATAAGGCTAAAGCCATGATATTCCTTCTCCATCATCTACATGAAGGGCTCAAAAATAAATATTTAACTGTGAAAGACCCACAAATTCTTTGGAGTAATCTAAAGGAGAGGTATGACCACCAAAAAACAGTGATACTCCCTAAATCTCGTTATGATTGGTTGAATTTGAGATTGCAATATTTTAAATCTATTAGTGAATATAACTCAGGTATGTTCAAGATAATTTCCCAATTGAAATTATGTGGAGAAAATATTACTGATGTAGAATTGCTTGAAAAGACATACTCCACTTTTCATGCAAACAATGTTGTCCTGCAGACACAATATAGAGAAAAAGGATTAACCAAATATTCTGAATTAAAATCTTGCCTTCTTGTGGCTAAGCAAAATAACGAGCTATTAATGAAAAATCATGAATTACGTCCTGTTGGCTCTACTCCATTCCCTGAAGCGAATGTGACAACCCATCACGGGAAAGAAAATATAAACAGAGACTATTCCAGCAGTAGTGGTCGAGGTAGAGGTCGCGGTCGCGGTCGTGGCCAATGGCGCGGTTGTGGTCGTGGGCATGGATATGGTAGAGGTCGTGGATTTCACTTTAAAAACTCACATTCTCACCAAAAGTGGGAACGTAGGGATGATAAAGTTAATAAAGAGAGAAGTGGGACTGATATATGTTACCGTTGTGGAGTGAAAGGACATTGGTCTCGGGTTTGTAGAACTCCAAAGCATCTTGTTGAACTTTACTAAGAATCATTGAAAAAAGGAAAGAAAGTTGAGGCAAACCTTGTTCTTGAAGATGGTAATGATGATTTTGATTTTGGCAATACAACTCATTTAGAAGTTGCCGATTTTCTTATTTCTCCGAAAGAGAATAATATTGATTTTGGCAATACAACTCATTTAGAAGTTGCTGATTTCTTCACTACTCCAGAAGGGAATAATTAAAATTATATCGAATTGTATGAACTTTGAGTATTAGACTTAATCTAGTGATTTACTTATGTTAATTTCTATGGTTGTAATAAGGACATTATATGCTTTATGAATTTATGAACTATTTGCGTGTTTTTATCGATTTATTATTTTATTATCATTAATTTTATGCTTAATTTTCTACATGTATTTTATTTCGTGGAGAACATGGATACTACTCAAGTTCAATTTACTATGAATGGTGAAAAATTATGTCTTGCTGACAGTGCAACTACTCATACAATACTTAAAAATAAAAAAATATTTTTCTCATTTGATGATGAAAAGAATTAATGTGAGTACCATATCGGGTAGTACAAATATCATTGAAGGCTTCGGAAGAGCCAACATAAAATTGCCTTAGGGAACTAAAATTAAAATAATTGATGCATTATACTCCCCGTTGTCTCAAAGAAATTTATTGAGTTTTAAGGATATTCGCAATAATGGTTATCATATTGAGACAGTAAGTGAAGAAAATAATGAATTTCTTCAAATCACGACTGTAACTCAAGGCACAAAACATGTTTTGGAGAAACTACCTACATTCTCCACTGGTTTGTACTACAAAAAAATCAATACTATTGAATCTCATGCTATATTAAACCCGAAGTTTACTGATAACTTTGTTGTTTGGCATGACCGGTTAGGCCATCCTGGTTCAATAATGATGCGAAAAATAATTGAGAATTCAAGTGGACATTCTTTGAAAAGCCAGCAGATTCTTCATAATAAATTTCCATGTGCTGCTTGTTCGAAAGGCAAGTTGATAATTCGCCCATCACTAGAAAAGATAAATTTTGAATCAATACGTTTTATGGAACGTATACAAGGAGATATTTGTGGACCCATACAACCCCCATGTGGACCATTTAGATATTTTATGGTTTTAATTGATGCATCGACTAGGTGGTCACATGTGTCATTATTATCAACTCGTAACCTGGCGTTTGCGAGATTACTTGCCCAATTGATTAAGTCACGGGCACATTTTCCAGATACTCCTATTAAGACTATTCGTCTTGATAATGCTGGGGAATTTACTTCTCAAGCTTTCAATGATTATTGCATGTCCATTGGGATAAAAATTGAACATCCTGTAGCACATGTTCATACACAAAATGGTTTGGCAGAGTCATTAATTAAACGTCTTCAGTTAATTACTAGACCTTTGCTTATGAAATCCAATCTCCCAATTTTTGCACGGGGACATGCCATATTACATGCAGTAGAACTAATTCGCATCAGGCCAACAAGTTATCACAAGTTCTCCCCATTACAATTGGTTTATGGCTAGGAACCAAATATTTTCCATCTAAGAATTTTTGGATGTGCGGTTTATGTCCCAATAGCTCCACCACAACGCTCTAAGATGGGTCCTCAAAGGAGGTTGGGGATATATGTTGGATTTGAATCCCCATCAATAATTAAATATCTTGAGTCTACAACAGGGGATTTATTTACGGCTCGTTTTGTAGATTGTCATTTTAACGAGTCACTTTTCCCAACATTAGGGGGAGAAAAAAGAGAGTTGGAAAACAAAATTAAATGGAATGAATTATCATTATCCTATCTTAATCCTCGAACTAAATAATGTGAACTGGAATTTCAAAAGATAATTCATTTACAAAGTTTAGCAAATCAATTGCCAAACTCGTTTGCTGACCCCAAAAGAGTGACTAAATCACATATTCTAGCTGTAAATGCTCCATGTAAAATAAATGTCCCAGAAGGGAAAAATAAATTTGCTAATGAGTCTAAGCCACGTCAGAAACGTGGAAGACCAACAGGTTCCAAAGATAAGAATCCTCGGAAAAGAAAAGGAACAATGACTGATGATGGTCAAATTGAAGAAAATTTTTCTGAAAAACCTCCAGAAAAGACTTTAGACATGATACAAGAAGAAATTCAGGTACCTGAAAATGAAGAAATTTCAATAAATTATATCATGTCTGGAATTACATGGAACCGAAATCAAATCGACGTCAATGATGTTTTTACTTACAATGTAGCATTAAACGTTATGGTTAATAATGATGATCATTAACCAAAATCCATCAACGAATGTAAACAAAGAAATGATTGGCCAAAATGGAAAGAAGCAATTGAAGCGAAATTAAAATCTCTAGGAAAAAGAGAAGTATTCGGACCTGTAGTCCGTACACCTGGAGGTGTAAAGCCAGTGGGATATAAATGGGTCTTTGCGCGAAAGAGAAATGAAAAGGGTGAAGTTGTAAGACATAAGGCACGATTAGTTGCACAAGGATTCTCACAAAGGCTTGGTATTGATCATGAGGAGACATACTCTCCTGTGGTGGATGTGACTAGCTACTTTTAGATTTCTGATTAGTCTGGCAATAAGAGAAGGACTTGACTTACGTTTGATGGATGTAGTCACATATTATTTATATGGTCCACTGGATAATGACATTTATATGAAGCTCCCAGAAGGTTTAAATTAAACAAATCTCTTTATGGATTAAAACAATCTGAACGTATGTGGTATAACCGTCTAAGTGAGTATTTGTTAAAAGAAGGTTTTAAGAATGATCCTATTAGCCCATGTATTTTTATAAGAAATTTGGATCAGGATTTGTTATAATTGCAGTGTATGTTGATGATTTGAATATCATTGGAACTCCTGAAGAGATTTCTGTAACTGTCGATTGTTTAAAGAAAGAATTTGAAATGAAAGATCTTGGAAAGACAAAATTTTGCTTAGGGTTACAAATAGAACACCTAGAGAATGGAATCCTTGTGCATCAATCAACATACATAGAAAAAGTTCTTAAAAGATTTTCTATGGATACAGCGCATCCATTGAGAAGCCCTATGGTTGTAAGATCCCTTGATGTAGAGAAGGATCTTTTTTGACCTCGGGAAGATGATGAGGAATTTCTTGGTCCTGAAGTACCATACCTTAGTGCAATTGGAGCATTAATATACCTTGCAAGTCATACACGACCCGACATATCATTTTTAGTTAATTTATTGGCAAGACTTAGTTCATGTCCAACCCGAAGGCATTGGAATGGGATTAAACATATACTTCGTTACCTTCAAGGTATGAAGGATATGGGTTTATTTTTCCCTAAATTGTCCAAAGAAAATTTGGTTGGTTTTGCAGATGCAGGTTATTTGTCTGATCCACATAATGCTCGATCACAAACTGGATATGTGTTCACATACGGTGGTACTACCATTTTTTGGCGTTCCATGAAACAAACCATTGCAGCTACTTCTTCCAATCATTCTGAGATATTAGCAATTCATGAAGCTAGTCATGAATGTGTATGGTTAAGGTCGGTAATCCAACATATAAAAGACGTTTGCGGTTTATCATCCTGGAAAGAGGCACCGACAACTTTATATGAGGATAATGCAGCTTGTATTGCGCAACTTAAGGAAGGATACATTAAAGGCGACAGAACAAAGCACATCTCACCCAAATATTTCCTCGCTCATGATCTTCAGAAGAATGGAGATATAAATGTTTTGCAGATTCGTTCAAGTGAGAATTTAGCAAACTTATTCACTAAGGCTCTCCCAACCGCAACATTTAAAAAATTAGTTTATCGTATTGGATTGCGCCGTCTCAAAGATCTTCAGTGACTTAATAATGAGGGGGAGTAATTGCGTGCTGCGCTCTTTTTCCCTTATCCATGGTTTTTTCCCACTGGGTTTTTTCTGGAAAGATTTTTAATGAAGCAGTATATAAGCACATTAAAACTTTTTTTAGATAATGGGCATCCAAGGGAGAGTGTACAAAATATAATAATTATGTATGCCCATTATAGCTTGTAACTCCCTCAATAATATGACTACCTTTGTAACTTCCTTGTAACCCCTATATGTCATTAGTTCACATTGTAACCCCCACATGAATGGGCTCTTTATTATCCATATAGGTTACATTGTTCACATTGTGTATATATATAGATGGTCTAATGAAATGGATGAAGACAATAACAAGGATTTACCATCTACATCTATCTCTAATATTCTCCCTTTCCCCTTATTTTTATAACAGAATAAACAATTATTTAACCCTTAACATGCCAAAAAAGTCCATAGTTCATATTTATAAAATAAGCCCGTAGTTTGAGCTTCATGGACCATTCACTTCTTCCATATTGGTACTTAGTTATACAGGCCCATTGTTTTGAATATAAGAAGAAATCCAATCTCAAATGCCTTAAAAAAATTGTTAAGTACTTAAGTCCAATCTATACATTAATAACATTATTATGCTATTAGCAAATGGCCACTAGCCCAATACTCCTATGTTAGTTCACCTAACTGTTTCAATAAAACGAAAGTGAAGTATAGCTCAAATGGTTAAGGCTTACTTCTCGGTTCCAGGGAATACTGAGATTTTTTTTTATCATCCGCCCTTATGGCTCTCTAAATACCAAAAAATAAAATCTTTTCAATAGAACAACCATTTATAATTATCAGTTCGATCTGACTCTTCGGAGTATAACAAATTTTGCTTTTCTGCTAGAAATCTAATTCATTTAACAACAATAACTTCAACTAAAATAAGTACTTGGTTGGTTGCTAGTGTAGTACATAGTGGGGAAATTGAAAGTTTACAAAAAAGTACGTATAATACTTCGTATATGACAAGTTGTTTGAGTGACATGATATAGTGTTTTTTTTTGGTGTTCCATCCGGTTCATCCTTTAGGCTAATTCAGATTTGAGGATTAGTTTTGGGTGGTTAGGTTCCAGTCTCCTCTCAATTGTTGTTGCGAAGGGTTGAATACACGGTTTCCCCCACCAAGTGTAGTCCCAATCACCACTACACCAACAACCAATTGGTAATGACATGACATAGTTAAATGGGATGAAATAGAATCTTCTTGGAAAGTTAAAATGTCCCTCTTGATTCAGCCTAATAGTCTAAAAATATTTTATAGGACTTTAGTATTATATTTATACATACGTACACGGTACACCAACATTGATTACATGTTTTTATTAATATATACTTGTAACTAATTACAATTTTTTTTTTTGGTAAGGAGAAGAACCCTAATGAACACATCTCCCTCACACATTAGCCAATTTAGCTACACAGTCAACGTGAAGTAATGGAATTCACGTACTTAAATTATGAAATGTTAAAACTAATATGAGGCGGTGAAAAAGTAACATGTTTGAACTATTTTGAGACAAAAGGAAGTAAAGACTAAAATTTTTTATGTGACATGAATACTTGTAGGTGATAAAATCAGTCACAATTTTGACCATAATTATTAAACAATAGTAACATAGCATCTTTTGTAATGGAACACCCATCCAAAATTTATAAAATAATTAGGCCAAAAAAAAAAATTAATAAAAAAAAATAAAAAAAAAAATAGAGCTAGATCTACAATCTTGTTCCCAGATATAAAACTCGTGAACTGCTAAACGTCGCTCCCATTTTGACATGAAAGGACCATATTGCCCTTTCTATAAGTTGACTATATAAGGCTCTACCACTTGGTTAAAAAGATTCCCGAGCATTTTCATATTGTTCTTGAGCACATTCGATCCACCACTTGGTCAAAAAAATTCCCGAACCCACCATGTCCAACCCCACGACATTCAACCCAAAATTCCCGAGCCCACCACCAAAAATCCCATTTTTTTAAAAAAAAATTTATTAAGCTTTAGCGACGGGTTTAGGACAATGGATGACGACAACGATCGTACACCGGAGGCATCGTCGGAGGATTCTGTAAGTCCTTGAATTTTTTTTTTTTTGAAAAGCGTACATCTGCCTAAAATTTCCGGATCAGCCTAGAATTTCCGGATCCACCATGGAAGATCCGGAAATTCTAGGCGGATCCACCATGGAGGATCCAAATTTTTTAGGCGGATGTCCATTTTTTTTTTTTTGATTAATTAATCAAAACAATTTTTTTTGAAATTAATTAATCAAATTTATTAATGTAATTTTTGTATGATAATTATAATTTTTATTGTGATTATTATTATTTTTGTGATAATTTGAGTAATTAGTAATAGTATTATTAGGTAATATTAGTTATTTTTGTGAATTATCTGTGTCTTTTTTTTTAAAAAAAATTTCAAATTTTTAAGTTTATGGAGCGTGAAATGGTGTTGTAAGTGTCGTGAGTATTTATATGTGAAGGGTAAATACGGAATTTTAAGAAAAAAAATACGAGCGACGCCTAGTAATTTGAGAGCGACGTTTAACAATCCCCAAAGGGACAACAATTAGTAGGTAATTTAAGAGACTCTCATAACTTAAGAGACAAAAATTAGTAGGTAATTTAATTAACACCAGATACGTTGAATCATAGATGTTCAAGCAAATGACATAGCTATAAATAAGCACAAATGTTAAAATAATATTGACGGCCAAGGAAGAGAAGATGAGAAAGATTAAGTTGGAACAAGAGATCAACAGTGATGAATTGGAGAAGAGAAGAGAAGAAGAAGAGTTGAGTAGGATGATGGAAGTTTAATATCTATTATCATGTAGGTATGGAAAACCATTTGTTTAAATCCAGCTTTATCATAAGACTTGTAACCATTGTCGTGGTTATTCTTATAGTATTTTGATTTTTTATATACCACATTTGCAAGTATAACACTATATTTGATCGATCGCACAACATTTGTTCTAGAATATACAATATTTTGTCTTTGTATAAGCAACCTTACTTCTCCTCGAACCCTCCACTAGTTTTTATTTATTTATTTATTTTTTATTTTTTTTATTTTTTTTTGGTAAATAGAATTGTAGTACCAAAAGAGGCTGCAAAGCAGCACAAGAAAACAAGTAACAGGGAGCCAAAAGGCTAACCAAACCACCAAACACCAAAAGCGCGAAGGGCACACAACCACTAGCCGAGGGTAAAAAATCAAAGGCTACCTTCTAGAAGGGGAACCCTCCATTAGTTATTGTGGACTATGTATCTACAGTCTATGTATATGATTTTAATTACTAAAAAGTCTAGCCTATTTGCATTGTGTTGATATGTATACGTGTTTCTCCTTAGTATTAATTAACACCTCTATTCTCATTATCCAGAAAGTAATTTATCTATCTTATAAAAAAGAGACAAATTATTGAAATAACAAATATAACAACAAATTAACAAAATATTAACAAAATTAAAGGATTACAAACCGAAAAATAGCCAAAAACCTAAACGAGGATATGTTACAGATTAAGGGTTAAGAGAAAAAGGGGCAATTGATGAATCAAAAAATTAAAACCTATTTTAGCATATTGAAAGTTAGTGTATCAATGTATGAACTTATTAAAACTTATCTAAGATCATTAGTTATTAATTTTTCTGAACTAAATTAAAAATTTTGAACTAAAAACATCTTAAAATGGTGATAATTACTAACTTTAATGTTGAAATAAAGTCAAATCATAATCTATTAAATCAAATTTTGATAAAAAATCTATTGTATAAATTCCAATTTAATGTTTGGTTCTTTGTGGTAACATAACAAATACATGTACAACTAATATATTTTTTTTTTAAATGATGGTTGTTCATTGAAGCTTCTGTTCGGAGTTAATCGAGCAATCTCACCAAATCATCGAAGCTCCTATTCGCAGCTAATCGAACAATTTAACTTTTTCGTCACCAATTCTTTGAAGCTTATGTTCACATCCAATCGAACACTCTCACCATTCCAAAAGCAATTCTTTGAAGCCCCTGTTCGCAGCCAATTGAACACTCGCACATTTGTTTCAAAGCTCTTTTGTTCAGAGACGCGTGAACATTTCATTCAAAAGCTCCCTTGTTCAAAGACGAATGAACATTTCATTCAAAAGCTCCCTTGTTCAGAGACGAGTGAACATTTCATTCAAATCTCTTTTGTTCAGAGACAAGTGAACGTATCTTTCATAGCTCTTGTTCAGAGACGAGTGAACATTCCATGAGTAAGCTCTTGTTCAGAGACGAGTGAACATTCCTTATGTAAGCTTTTGTTCAGAGACGCGTGAATATTAGAAATAGCTTCGATACACTTATTCATCGAAGCTGCTATTCATAGCCAATCGAGCAATCTCACTAATTCATTGAAGCTTCTGTTCGGAGTTAATCGAGCAATATCACCAAATCATCGAAGCTCCTATTCGCAGCTAATCGAACAATTTAACTTTTTCGTCACCAATTCTTTGAAGCTTATGTTCACATCCAATCGAACACTCTCACCATTCCAAAAGCAATTCTTTGAAGCCCCTGTTCGCAGCCAATTGAACACTCGCACATTTGTTTCAAAGCTCTTTTGTTCAGAGACGCGTGAACATTTCATTCAAAAGCTCCCTTGTTCAAAGACGAATGAACATTTCATTCAAAAGCTCCCTTGTTCAGAGACGAGTGAACATTTCATTCAAATCTCTTTTGTTCAGAGACAAGTGAACGTATCTTTCATAGCTCTTGTTCAGATACGAGTGAACATTCCATGAGTAAGCTCTTGTTCAGAGACGAGTGAACATTCCTTATGTAAGCTTTTGTTCAGAGACGCGTGAACATTTCTTTCAAAGATCTTTTGTTCATAGACGAGTGGACATCATAGCGCTCTCTGAAAATGCGGAGGTTGTCACCCCAACTTGAGAAGATGGCTCGAAGT